TTCAGCAGCACGAGTGAGCCCCACTGCCTTCACTTTGGAAATCATGCAGCTTTGTAATTCTATTCATCTGGGGGTGAGGTGGACAAGGGATGAACAGAAAAAAACCCTCAAACTTTTCATTTCTTTACCATTTAATTTAAAAATTAACTGCATATCCTGTCACTATAAGACACGAAAAAGCACTACACGATCACACTGCTGTTCTCAAGGTAAAGAGGGCAGTTTATTTTCTGACTCCAACATTTATAGATTTCCAAAAGTGGCAGTGGATTGGAGGGTGACAGTGCCACCTCTCCAATGACACTGGACAAACCAACAGTCCATCACATTTCTCCTCCTCCATAAAAGAATGCAAAACAATAAGTTATTTACAGAAAGTGTGTGAGAAAGTTCATTACAAGAATGTAAACATCAGAAGGCTTAGAAAATCTTAAAAAATATCAGGGTGACAATATCCCAAACACAAACTGGAGAAAAAGCAGTTTTTAAACTCTTCCTTTCTGCAGGCCCAGCACGGTGAGGAGCATCCTGCAGGCTGTGTGTGCCTGTGGGGCTGCAGGGAGCTGGGAAGGTCCCTGAGGGATGGGCTCAGGTGAGGCTTTGCCTCTGCTGTGCCCTGATGGGTGCCAGCCCCACCTTGGCTTTTCTCTGCTCCTGCTCCAGGGAAGCACTGAAGCACAGAGCCAGAACCTGCCAGGGCCCTCAGACAGCAGCAGAGGCGGTGGTGCTGCAGAGAAACCCAGGTGTGAAAAACACCAGTCACTTGTTTTTGGAATTTGAAAAGTTTAATAGTAATAAAATTGTTATAAAAATAGTAATATAGATAGAGTAATAAAAATTTGGACAATTAGGATTTAGGACAATATGAGACAATAAAACTAAAGAGTTACAGACAGTCTGGGTACCTCTTTCTGGGCAGAATAAGCCCAAAAAAGGACCCATGTTAACAGAGGATGAACCCTTAAAAGCAATAGCCTGTTTCATGTTCATACACCTCATATATGATTCATAAATTCCATTCAAACACAGGATTCTGTCTGGTCAGTGTCAACTTCTTCCTCTGAATCCTGACAGCGTCTTCAGGGCTGAGGAGGCAGGAAGAAGTTTGTTTCTTCTGATAAGGGAGGAATAAATTCTTTCTCTCTGAAAGATTTAGGTGTCCTGTGGCTGCTATCTCAGTGTGAGTACCTCATTCCTCTCTTTAAAAAAATGTATCTTACACAGCATAGTTTCTATTTTAATATTATGTTATAACCTAAAACTGTATTTAACACACTACTTAAGAAAATTAATACAGCATAACTTTCTAACATAACACATAAAATATTAATTTTAATATTTGGGAAAAGCCAATCATAAAATACCCATTTTTCACACCAGGTGTTGATCCAAGACACAGCCACGCTGCCCAGTCCTGCCTGGGCAGGACTGAGCTTTTCTGCCTGATGTACCCCAGAAAAGTTCAGCACACAGAGGCAAGTGTGTGCATTTTCATCATGGTAAAACCCACTGCCCAGATACTGGGGTTCTCACAGATGCACAGCAGGTGAATGTGCTAAGCCTGTGATTTTGGGACCATAATTATCAGTAAATTATTGATGCTGTGGCAGAAGGTTGAAGGTAAGGAGACTGATTCTCATTTCACATGATTTCTCCAAGGACTGCAGTGGAGAAAGTGCCTCCTTCCAGAGGAGGGCACAGTGAGATGCTGTTCTCTTGTCACCATCATGTTTTCAGAAAAATCTCTTTGCCCAGAATTTTCTCCTGGGAAGCTGAGAAGCCTCAGAGAAAAATGAAAACAATAATTATCTCATTTGTTTCTCCTGTGTTTTGCTCCTTTGGAATGTGTTTGGACATTGTTTACCAACAGGTGATTGTTTTATTGGCTTCTGCTGTGAATTGTTTTGACTCAATGGCCACTTGGGGCCAAGCTGTGTCAGACTCTGGACAGAGTCACGAGTTTTCATTATTATCTTTTTAGCCTTCTGTAAGAATCCTTTCTGTATTCTTTAGTATAGTATAGTTTGGTATTCTTTAACATAAAATAGCAACATAAATTAATAAATTAGCTTTCTGAGAACATGGAGTCAGATTCATCATTCCTTCCACGGACAGGGGTCACAGAAAATACAACATTCTGTGCACACCTGGAATCTGGCCCCATGCATTCACTCGTGCTGCATCCTCAGCCTCTGCTGCTGGGGCTGTGCAGGGGAAGAGGCTGCAGAATTCCCACAGCCTTTGTGGGAATGATGCTCTGTGCTGGGAGGGTTTTTTCAGTCTGCTGCCAGGGCGAGGAGCGAGCTGCCATCCACCGAGCTTCAGTCAGCCCTTGACAACTGCCTCAATTTGTCTGTGATCAAAACAGCAGCGCAGGGAGCTGCAGCTGGGAGTGGCAGCTGTGTCTGAGGGCTTCTGCCAGATCTCTTCCACCTGCTGCTCTAGCTGTCAAATCTAAATGTCATTGACTGTGATACAGGCTCAGTGAGTGTCACCAGGAGGCACAGCACACCTGGTACGTGTGCTGCAGGTGGGACATCTTGTCTGTGTGTCCCTCTGTGTGCATCCTAGCACGCTGCATGCAAGGGTGAAGAAAAGGCAGAGCAGAGGCAGGAGGAATCTTTCTCTGGAGTTCCCAACAAATGCAGACAGATGGATCGAGGCCAACACTTGCTGTAGAGCCAGGGTACCAATCTGCAGAGCCCTGAAAGGGGGTGTGTGGGTGCCAGCACCCCATGGGGCTGACTGCAGCCCCACAGCTGCTCCCCAAGCCCAGTCCTTGCCCTGGCCTGCAGCTGGGGGAGCAGGGGGGCTCCAGGAGTGTGGGGGGCTCCAGCAGAGCAGGAGAGGGGCATGGTGGCACCAGGTCAGGGCCAGAGCTGGAATGGGGAACCCCAGGTGTGAGCACCTCACCAGCAGCCAGCCCCTGGCCACCAGTGGGGTCTCAGGGAGCCCTGCCCTGCAAGGTGAAGCTTTTGTTGTCCTGAGCCTCTGGGGTTCTGTCCTGAGATAGCCCTGGGAGCTGGCACAGGCAGCTCCCAAGACAAGAAAATGCTGCCAGTTGGCATTTTTTATCTTTTGCCTGGTCATTGTTCAAATGTCCTTGAGAGCAGAGAGGGAGTGCTGGAGCCTTCGTAGAAATAAAGGACAAGGAACAAAGGGCCAGGCAGGGGAGCTGGCACTGCTGCTGCTGTGGCACATCCTCCTCAGCCCCTTTCAGGAGATCAGGGAGGACTGCAGGAGGCTGGAAAAAGCAGGAGAGCAGCTTACAGGGAGGTGCAGGGCTGCTGGAAAGCTGAGTGTCTGGCAGAGAGAGAATGACAACAGCTACCTCGGTGGCCTGTGCCCAGCTCTGCCTGTAAATCACAAGTCAGCACCATTCAGAACAGCAGCAAAACTCACATTTGGAGAACTTGATGCAAAATGAGCTAGAGCAGCAAGCAGCAATTCCACTGGGAAAAATAGTTTTGTCTAGCTAATGCTCCCTTGGTGTTGTGCACCAGTGTCCTGACCACTCTGAGAGTCATCCCTGAACTCTGGGGTCTATAGAGCCTCCCTTTGGACCAGCATCCACCTTTGGTTTCACCCACCACAAGAGCCCTGACAGCTGTGAGCATAAATCACTGAAAGAAGGAAGGCTAGGAAAGCTCCTAGGAAGAGCAGTAGAAGACAGAGGATTATTTTGGCTGCTTCTTTCTGATCTGGGGTGTGGGACATGCCCACACATGTATTTCTCAGAGCTGACCAACAGCAAACAAAGGGTGAAGCTGTGCTGTGATCTTGCCGTGCAACTGGACATGATTTCCTCCTTGTTCCCACCGCAGCCACCCCAACACCCATAAATCTGCCACACACCATGTGCAGCTCTGTCCTCCTGCCTCCTTTCCTGTCTTTGTGCTCCTCTTCCTGAGCAGCCCCAGGCACTGCCAGGGTCAGGGCAGCCCAGCCTGGAGCGTGGTCCTGCAGGACAGAGCCATGCAGAGCTCCTGGAGCCCAGCTCAGCAGCTCACACTGGGATTCCTGCAGCCAGGAAAGGCCCTGGGGATGCCCGGGTGTGCTGATCCATGGGCCAGCCTGAGCTGTCACAGGGCTGGCAGTGCCCTGTGCTGGGTTTTGCTTGGCTTGGGAATGACACAGAGATTTCCCAGCACACTGATAATCCAGGTGGTTTGTGTTTTCTTTTTGGGCACGGATATTTTTCTGTTTTGGAGCCTCTCTGATTTGCTCTCTTGAGCAGTGGCTGTGGGTTGTTAGGGATGGGCTCACCAAGACCAGACAAGCGAGGTGTGGATTCTCTTGTGTCTGATTTGCTCCCTTGAGCAGTCACGCTGCAGTGGCTGTGAACTGTTAGGGATGGGCTCACCAAGACCAGACAAGCGAGGTGTGGATTCTCTTGTGCTCTGCACGCACAAAATGGCACCGAATCGGCATTCCCGATGGAAATGGGAGTGTTCCCACATTGCCAGTGTGATATCTGGGGGCCGAACAGGGACCCGGGCAGTGAGCTCATACAGGAGGCTGCTGTCTGCTGGCAGAAAGAGAGGCTGGATCCAGCCATGTCTGCACACACTGCCTGATTTATTTGCCTTTAGCTGCAGGATTAGAGCTCAGTTCCTCCCTCCGACCTCTGCGCATCCCGTGCCTCCTCCCTGTGGCAGAGAACTCCCCGCAAGTGTCAGGATTTCCGCAATATAAACCGTAGAAGGAACTCGGGGAAATGATGCTCCTGCAAAAATGCCGCTTCAACCGTGTCCCAGGAAGGACGCAAGCAGCGTGTTCGCTCGAAAGGAATAATTTAGAAAAATAATAATAATAATTAAAAAAATTAAAATAAAATAAAAATAAAAATAAATTTTAAAAAAAAGGAAAGAAAAAAATCTATAAAAGGCGGGGGGGTTGAGAAGATGCGAAGCTGCTCCGCGGGGCCCGGGGGCTGCCCCAGCTCGCCGCCCCGCCCGCCGCCGCTCCGCGCTGCCCCGCCGGATCAAATTTTGGCGCCGGAGCCGGCCCCCGGCCCCGAGCCGCCGGCGGGCGGCGGGGAGGCGGCGGAGCACCGGGCGCTGGTGCTGACGGGGTTCGGCGGCTACGACAAGCTGAAGGTGCAGGCGCGGCGCGGCGCGGAGCCGCGGCCCGGCGAGGTCTCGGTGAGCGTCCGCGCCTGCGGGCTCAACTTCGCCGACCTGATGGCGCGGCAGGGCCTGTACGACCGCCTGCCGCCGCCGCCCGTCTGCCCCGGCATGGAGTGCGCCGGCACCGTCCGCGCCCTCGGCGACGGCGTCCGCGACCGGCAGGTGAGGGCGGCCCGGCCCGGGCCCCGAGCCGCCCGCAGGTGCGGCCCCGCCCGCTGCCCGCAGCCACGGTGGCCCCCAGGGACCCGAGCGATGCCACCCGAGGTTGCGGCGGCGACCGGGCGGCGGACAAAGGGCAGGGACAAAGGGGCAGGGCGGGCAGGCATCCCCGGGGCTGCTCCGGGAGAACGGGAGCGCTGCTGCCCGCCGGGCCGGAGCCGCGGGGCGAGGCCTTGGATTCGGGAGGTTTTCTAAGTTTGGGCGTGCATTTTCCGTGATTGATGCTACTAAACGTTTCCCAAAGGCTCCTGCCTCCTACTCTCCTTACAGGGAGAGGCAGTAATATTTTTCGGTGTTTAGACTTCTGCTCCCAGCTTGGGCAAGGAGAGCAGGTCCTCATCCATCTTGTGTTGTGGGGGATCCAGCATGAATCCAGTGGTTGGTTTGGGCTACCACAGTTTGGGTTTGGGTTGCACTACAAAGGCGGAGCCTGGGGTGCCTGTGCTCTCTGGGGCTCCTGGTGTGTGCTGTGGTGAGAGGTGCTGTGCTGCAGCCTCCCCATGGGGAGGGAGCTAAACCAGCTGTGGTCTCTGGGAGTCCATGGGAGCTGCAATCCCTGCAGACCTCTGCACAGAGAGCACTGGATGCATTAGCTCTGACTTACCTGGTCTGATGGCTCCTGCTAGCCTCGGGGGCTGGTTTCACACCACCTTGTCCTCTGATTTTAGGTTGGTGATAAGGTAATGGTCCTGGCCAGGTCAGGGCTCTGGCAAGAAGTGGTGAATGTGCCGGCCAGTCACACCTTCCCGATGCCTGAGGGGATGAGCTTCGAGGAAGCTGCTGCTCTTCTTGTGAACTACATCACTGCCTACATGATTCTGTTTGACTTTGGGAACCTGAGACCCAACCAGAGTGTCCTGATCCACATGGCTGCAGGTAAACAGCTCTTGCCAGACCACGCTGAGACTCTTGGTTTCACCGTGCAGCTTCTGAATAAGTGGCGTGGGTGAGGAAATGATCAGAATGGAGCTGGGCTGACAAAATGTCACCTGGCAGAGATGCAGGCTTTGTGCTGACCCCATTTCCCAGCAGCTGGGGTCAGTCTCTCCCAGTGTGTCCCAGGACCAACCTCACCAGGCAGGGCCTCTATTCCCCAGGCTGCTGTGCTGTGTGATTGGTACAGGCAGGGATAATTCACTGAGTGGATTTTTACATTAGGTTTTTTAATTTACATGAGGTTTTTCTGACTGCTGGGGCTGTTTGCTTCTAAATCTTTCTTACTGCTGTTTTTCAGGTGGTGTGGGAACTGCTGCCATCCAGCTGTGCAAGACTGTAGAAAATGTCACCATTTTTGGCACAGCATCTGCCTCCAAGCACGAGGGCCTCAAGGAGAGTGGAGTTGCTCACCCCATTGACTACAGAACCATGGATTACGCAGAGGAGGTCCGGAAAATCTCTCCCAAAGGTATGATGTGGTGGAGGACTTGTGCAGCTGTCTTGCATTTCTTTCAATTGCAAAGAAGCTTCTATTTATTTCCAATTCCCTCTCTAGGTGTTGACATTGTCCTGGACCCTCTGGGAGGATCTGACACGTCCAAAGCTTTTAACCTCTTGAAGCCGATGGGCAAACTCATCACTTATGGTGAGTGTGAGCAAGGTGCCCAAAAACCCCAGGGACTGTGTGATGGTGGAATGGGATCCACACAGGAAAGCTCCATGTCTGGGTGCATGGCTGTCAGGGACACTATTCCTCACTGCACCCTGTGCTGTAGTTCTTTTATTTCATTAAGGTTTTCAGGATGCTTTGGCTTGGTGAGACACTGAGGGGAGTGAGATCTGTGCCTTGTCCCCAGAGCTGTGTTCACAGGCTGCAAGGCTCTTCCCTCCCGTGGTGAAATCTCTCTTGGAGTAAAAGCTGGTGCCTGCAGGGGAAGCTGGAATGTCCTCAGGGAGGAATACTGGCATAGCTGCTTTGTCTAGGCTGAGTTAATGCACAGCCTTGCTTTTCTTTTAGAGGATGTGTGGGAGATGAGGTTTGAGGCTACTGAATACTTATCTCTCCATTCCCCAGCCCTGGAACACTGTGATTTTGTCCCCCAGACAAAGCCCTCACACAACCCCCAGTGGGATTCCAGACACTTGCAGCAGTGTGCTGCTTTGGTTCCTCCAGCCAGTGTGATTCCCCTGGAGAAGCAGGGCTGGAGAAGGGGAAAGCTGTCCTGCCAGCCTGCCTGGATGTCACTTGTAACCCTTTCTTACCTCTGCCAGCCTCCAGTCTAGCTGCACTGCTGCTGCCTTAGGAGGGCCAGAGAGAGTAATTGTTCTGCATTTTTGCCCCATGAGTGCTGATAATCCAAATTCTGCTTATCCTGAGGCTGAGGCAGGTGCCTGTTTCCATTGAAGGTTGACTGGGCAGGTTCTGCTGTGTCAGTTCTCAGCTCTGTCCCTCACTGTGCCTGGTCTGAGCTGTTCCATGGGATGTTTATTGCCTCTTGTGTTGTGTTCCAGCTTACCTGTGCCTTGCCTTCTTTTCAGGTGTAGCAAACCTGCTCACTGGGCAGAAGAAGAACCTCATGGCTATGGCTAAAACCTGGTGGAACCAGTTCAGCATCACTGCCTTGCAGCTCCTGCACCAGAACAAGGCTGTGTGTGGCTACCATCTTGGGTATATGGATGAAGAAGTTGAGCTTCTCAGAAGTGTTGTAGCCAAGCTGGTTAACCTGTACAGTCAGGGCAAAATCAAGCCCAAAATAGATTCTGTATGGCCCTTTGATCAGGTGAGTGAGCTGACATGCAGGCAGTGTACAGAGTGAGCACCTTGTCCATGGGGCCTGGACTGTTGAAAATGTCTAATAACCATCTGTTCTCAGACATTCAGTGCCTTATTTCTTTTAAAATATTAAGGCTGAGTAAAGTGGCTGGGCTGTTCTGCTCCAGTGCACGGGGCTGGGCAATGCCAGACAGTGTCCCTGTGGAGCAGGGCAGGTGCTCAGCTGTGCTCCATGGGCAGCAGCAGCCAGGAGGGGGCTGGGTTATACATCAGACTGCAGCCCTGATAGTCTGTACCCTGTAATTAAGCAGACAGATGGGAAGGTTGTTGCTGCCCTTCCAAGAGTGCAAAAGAGCCCAGGCAGTGAAGCAGAATGAGGATATTGGAAGGGAGCAGCAGCTCTGCTCTGCTCAGGGTTATTGCATTGATGTGTTCAGGCAGAGTCAGGCTCTTCCCTTGGGAATCCTCTGCTGGGGCAGGACCTGCTGCAGGGGAGCAAAGAACTTAGTGATGATAGTCAGTGTTCATACCTGAGAATTAATCTGATGCAAAGGCTTAAGGAAAGCTTTGATTTTGGGCCTGGCCCAGGTGCTTGAAAATAATGATAATGATGATACAATTCTGTGCATATATTGTTTTGTGTAGCTGGTGGAGGCTTTGTCCTGCTGGCAGGTGACTGGATTCCTCCCTTTGGAGAGGAAGCTGTGGTGACACACACTGCACTCCCACATTTGTGTGAGCAGATCCTCCTTGTGTGTGTTAAGGTGGGGCTGTACGAATTCTTGAGGATAGTTTCCTCTAGGCCTTTTGGGCTAGTCTGTCCAAAGCACACCTGTGCAGAGGCACCTGAATGCTTGGGACATGCTTGAACTGCCAGGAAAGCTGCCTCCCAGCTGCCTCAGACTGCTCTGGGGGTGCTGAGGGGCTCAGAAAGGGCATGGATGCTCTCTGCAGTGGGTGGGGGTCTTACCAGACTCCTTTTGCCTCCAGGTGGCAGAGGCTATGAAGCAGATGCAAGAAAAGAAGAATGTTGGAAAAGTCATCCTGGTTCCTGAAGCACCCAAGGAAGAATCTAAAAAAGCAGAGAACTAAGGAGAAGAGATGAATGCAGATTATGAATTCATGGTTTAACTCCCTGATCTCTTTGGGACCTGGAAATGGACAGATCAGTATCTTCCATCTTTCACCAGTACAAGAACATCATGGTTGTCATTCAGACGAGGTTTGCATGCTCTTGTTGTGACTGACCCTTTGCCAGATATGCCTCCTGCTCTCTCTTTTGAAGCCTGTTTATTTCATACTGCTTTCTAACCACTTGCTTCTCCACTGAATTTCCAGACTAACCTTCTTTTTCTCTGGCAGTGAGGCTGAAGCTTCCAAGCAGTTGGTGTCTAACAACTGCACAGCCTGTCACTGTAAAGTCAAGGCACAATGTACTGTAACAACTGCCAAGTGTCTCTGCAGAAACTGAGCCCTGCTGAAGCATTTGCACTGTCAGCTTTGGGAAGCCTGTTCAGCAGAGGATTGGCCAAATGTAGGATGTTTCCTCCACAGCCAAAGGAAAACCACAGCTGGCCTACTTTAATTCAAGCAGGGGTTTCTCTTCTGTTCACACTAACCTGGCTCTATTCCCTCTGCTTTTTGTAGGCCACTAACACAGCCAGATATTAACAGCTCATGTTGTTTTTGCCTTGACCATCCTGGCAATTTGGAGTCTATGGCAGATCATACTCCATTTGCAGTCACTTCTCTGTGCACTCTGTAAATACCCTGACAGGCTGGGCTGGGCTATGCCTGACTACAGAAGAAAAGTTTCAATTAGATAACCTGATCCTGTCCATTTTCTATTTCCAAATTGTATAGAGAGATCTGAGCAGTGTCTGACTCTTAGAGACCATAAGGACTCAACTGTGTCTCAAACGACTGGAACAATTGATGTTGGCTCTGTGCTTTATTATGTTGGGCTCCAAGTTGGTATTGTTAGGGCTTCACCCTTGTCTTTGTATTTCCAAGAGCTGCAGTATTGAATTGGACTTGGCTGAGATGGAAACAAAATAATCCCCTATTAATGCTTTGTGCAGTGCCCTGTGCACTGAGGAGGTGTTGCAGTTTGGGAAGTAACTTTCAAGGGCCACTCCTGTGGGCTGGCTGCCCAGCAGCCTGGGCTGCTCTCCCCGTGGCACTCTGCTTGGTAAAGCTGTTGCCAGGGTAGCAGTTAGGTGACAAACAGCCCAGCTGTATGTCAAGCCTCTTGACCTGCACATTCTGAGCAGTTTCCATTGTGTTCTAGCTCATTTGCTGCAGCAGGGCTTGACTCTTCTCCCCCTGAATCTGTGTCTTGGTGCTCCAGTACTGAGGGTTTAGGAGCTGCTCCTCCCTACACCAGAACTGTTTCCTCTTCTACTTTTCTTTCCTTGTGTGCATTTGGAAACAGAGCTGTGTAGAGACCCAAGCCCAGCTCTGTGAGCACCTTGAGTCCTGGTGATGCTGTCCTGGACCCTGCTTGCAGCTCTGGGCAACTCTGGTGCTTACTTGGCATGGATTGTAGGTGTGGTGGGCTTTTGGGGCTTTCATTTGGAAACACAAGGGCACTAAGAAGAACTGCTGATCATGGAAGAACTTGTGCTCCAGAAGCAGAACCTTGAGACTAGAATCCTGCTTAACTAGCCCCCAGGGAGGGCCCAGGGCTCAAGGAGGGCAGGTACCCACTGGGCACAGGGCTGGGCACGCAGCCCCACCACCACCCAAGAGAGCCCAGGGCACACAGGGCTGGGTTCCTCTCTGAATTCTCCCTCAGCCTGCTCCAGTGGGACTCCTGTCTGCCAGTGCAGCCTGGCTTCAGGTGCCTGGGCTCAGTCCAGAGTTCTTTAGAAATGCACCCACACAGCTTCCAGGGTTGTGCCCTGGCTAGCTTTAAATATTGCAACAATCCTGTTCCCTACAACCTCAGAGGAGTGCTGGAGTCCTCCCACAGATCCTTGTCAGTTCATCTCTTGAACTTCATAACACAGGCTGATGGAACTCTCAAGCACAACTTTTTACCTTTCTGAATCCAAAATCTTGCTGCTTCTTTCAACCTGCCCTGTTGTGCTAATTCAGATTGAATCCAACAGTGTCTAATGCTGCTTTACCAGGTGTGAAAACAGAAGGATTGTCTAAATTGCTGCAATGGAAAGTCTGGACCTGTTCCTCTGAGAAACTGGACTTCACCTTGATGCCAGGGCAGCCTGCTCAAAAGGCACCCAACCCTGCACATCTGATTGTAAAGGGGAAAGCTCTTAAGGTGTGTTTTATAGTAACATCCTCTCTCTCCCTGCTTTATCCTGAGCCAATCTCGTGCTCAGTGCCTTACGTGGATGGCCTTGGGTCAGGCAGAGTGGCAGGGCTCCCACAGCTCCCATCAGACCCCTCTGCCTCCTGTGTGCCACAGGAAACAGCATCTCAGTGCCTTCTGCTACACGACTAGGAAGTCACTGGGGCCTTTTCCATTCTGGCCTTTCAAAGTATTGCCAAAACACTGTTTTGATTCTTATTAGCTCTGTTTTGTGAACACTGGTGATGTTGTTGGACTTTCCACGAGTTAGCTGTTCTCCCCCCAGGTGTTCCAGCCTTTCTGGGGCTGACCTGGTGCTTCTGTTCCCCCCAGTCCATAAGACCTGTTGTAAAGCCCTTGTCTTTCCCAGGGCAGCTGTTTGGCTCCAGGGTGAGGCTTTATCAGCTGCTCCAGCCTTGGCTCTTTAGAAACAATCTAGCTCCTGGCTCTTTTGGGGCTCACATGTCTTCTACGTAGAAATTCCTGAAGCCCTTATCAAGGCAGGAACACCAAGCAGTTACTGCCTGTTCGAGGTCAGCACTGACTATTTTGTGTCTCTTGGTAGCAACAGTGTTTTCTACAGGAAGACCAAGATTAAATGTAACCTTGCAATCCTCTGCCCCTGCTCAAAGTTCTGCTCTAGGTGGGTGTGGTTGGTTGTGTTTTGGTTTTTTACTTTTCTTTTTCATGGGCCAGTAAGTATAGAACCTATGTAAAACAACTTCAAGTGTCTTAATGCAGTTAACCAGCCGGTTTGTACACTAAGGACCAAAGCAAAAAAACCAAAACGAAACCCTAGGATAAAAATCATTCCATTCAATGTTGCTTGTTTAGGGCAAAGTTGTGCTACTGAGGAACTGGGAGATTCCTGTACTTAAATCATGTGTGCCATTCCAGAAGTGCAATTTAATGTTTATTTTACTGATTGTCTTGACTCAAAGGTTGTGCCATGAGGAGTCCAAGTGGAAGTGTAAGGAGTTGATGAGTGGAGGAGGCACCCACGGCCCTGCCTGCTGCAGGGGGCTCGGTGCCAGTGCCTCTCCTGTCATTGCTGTAGTGGCCTCCCAGCTGGTGCTGCTGGTCTGGGACAAAATGCAACTCCTTTGCTATCACCAGGCAGCAGCTGCCACATTTTTGACTCTCTGAAGCTCACTTGTGTTGCAAGCTGACTGCAGGAGGGGAAGGGGGCAGAGGTGGCCTCGGCTTGCACAGAGGAGTGTGGCCCCTGCCAAATGCTCTGGGAAGGAGTTCAGCTCTAGGATTTGTTTCAGACAGCTGTATTAAACTAGAATTGATTGGCCAGGGAGAAGGAAGAAGCACTGTGTGTGTGAGACTTCAGCTGGTGCAGGATCCTGGCCTGCTGACAGCTGCTATCATAGGTGTTAAACCACTCGGGTTGCCTGAAGTCTGGTGTGCTGAGCCCTTGTGATGGCAAAGTGTTATTGGCAAGTGTACATGAGCATGATGTGAAATGTGTTAGACTCTGAGTGAGCCTCTTGCAGCATATGGTCTGGTCTGTACTGTCTGAATTGTGTTGATTTGCAGATTTGTGATACGAGTGATGCTCATCCTACAGACACATAGCAAATCTTTTGTTTAAAAAAATATATTTCGCTTTGTGCGTGTAACCGAGTTGGACAGAAGACAACTGTGCCACTGCTGTTTACATGACTACAATGTGTACTGCTCCTCTGTCAAATGTTACCATATGCCTTATGTGTTTCAAATGTTAATTAAAAGCATAACAAAACCTTCCACAGTATGCTGCTCAGGTTGCTGTGAACACTCTGCCCACAGCTGACAAAGGAGGAGATGCCTCTGCTCTCAGTGACAACTGTTAATTGTTGGCTTGACTGTTGTTCCTGACACTAATCCTGGAGGGCAGCCATGGTGATTTTTGTTTGTGAAGCCTTTGTTGTGAACACTCTGCCCACAGCTCGGGGCAGGTTCAGCTGACAAAGGAGGAGATGCCTCTGCTCTCAGTGACAACTGTTAATTGTTGGCTTGACTGTTGTTCCTGACACTAATCCTGGAGGGCAGCCATGGTGATTTTTGTTTGTGAAGCCTTTACCTGGGCTCTGCACTTCATATCTGGGTGTCAGTAGCCAGGTGGGACTGAAGTGGGTGCCTGGGCTGAGGGTAAGACAAGGCATGAGCAGCCACATTAACATGAGAATAAATCCTATTTATTTGTCAGCATAGAGACTGTCCCTGGGAGGCATCTGCTGTGGCTGCTGAAAGCTGTTCATGTTCTCCTCAAGAGAGCACCAGGTCACCTGCTGGCCTCAGAGCAGGAGCTGGGGAGGGGCTGAGAGCTGACACTAAGGACAGCTCATCTCCAACCCCAGCTCTGGCAGCAGCTGAGCTGGAACCTCTCTGTTGTGGCAGGAGGTGGAAGAGACTTCCAGAAGCTGGGGCTGGATGAGGTGCAGACTCCTGCCCAGGTTTGTGTCTGCTGCTGAAAGCCAAGCAGGGCTCAGGCTGCAATCAGCTCTGTGATTTCAGGACGTGCATCCAAGAGGAGCTGGAGTTTCAGGGAAGTTTCAGCTCCATGCTGAGGCCTCCATAGGGCAGGGACAGAGGTGCTGCTCTTTGCTAATGTGCAGAGTTCTGGCTACATCTGGGGAAAGCAGAAGCTCCTTCTACAAACACATGCTTTTTCCTGAGCTGTCTCTGTTAAGCTGCAGTTTTCTCAGCAGGAAAAGAAGGTGAAGGGAAGCCACAGGTTGTGGCTGTGGGAGAATCACACGAGGCCCAGTTTATTGAGAACTGTGCCAACCTCATGGAGGTACTGGGCATCTGGGTAGCCATTCCTGTGGGGCAGAGAGGAAGCACTGTAAATCCTGCAGATGTGCCAAAACCACAGTGGGAAGCAGCCCTTTATTTTTGCCCCACCCTTTCAGAGGGGCTGAGAGGGGAAGTCCTGCTCCTGGGATGTCCTGC